TGGGAACAACTGGAGAATGGAGGATATTCTTTTGCCTTTGACATTTTTCGCATCTCTTGACGAAGTTCATTGCGTCTTCTCTCAGGATAGGCCAATAATACCCTTGTCTGATGATGACTTGGGCTAAAGACCTGCCCCCCAAGTGATTTCCGCAGACTCCTTCGTGCACCTCTCTTAATGCATAATTAGCCTCATCTGGCCTAAGGCATCTAAGGTATGGCATGCTGTACGACCTCTTGTACAAGTGGTTACCTATGATCGAATACCGGGCTGAGCGTTGAATGATTTTCTTCGCCTCTCGTTGGTCATCAGGCAACTTTCCATCTTTGATGTAGTCCACAATAGGATCAACCCAACTGAGTCCTTGGTCAAGACTCATCACTTTCTCTTCCTCTATACTGCGGTGAGGAAGGACTTGCACAGGTACGATTTTGATGAGCTCGTGATAAGGTGATGTTGCGAGCTTAGATAGTGCGTCTGCCTTGGTGTTTTCTGTCCTTGCGACTTGCTGAACCCCACAATACTCAAATACAGAGACCAAGTCCCTCACCTTAGTTTGGTACTTGACCATCATGGGATCCTTTGCCTCATAGTCTTCACGGCTTTGACATACGACCAACTGTTAGTCACTATGGCATTGCACACGTCGGGCGCCCAGCTCCAACGTCATCTTTAGTCCGGTTATGAGAGCCTCATATTCAGCCTCATTATTTGAGGCCTTGAACTCGAACCTTAGAGCGTAATCAAAAACATCACCTTCTGGGCTGGTTAAGGTCAACCCAGCCCCACTCCCATTTTGATTTGATGATCCGTCCACGTACAAGGTCCAACAGCCTTCCACGGGATCTCCGATGTTTGGCACCACCTCTGTTACCGGAGGAGTATGCTCTTCTCATGTAGTACACTCTACTACAAATTCGCTAAGCTCAACGCACCACTTCACCAGCCTCCCAGATGCTTCCAGCCTCTGTAGAATTTGTCTCAACGGTTGGTCTGTGAGTACAACCACCACGTATGCTTGGAAATACGGTCTCAACTTACGAGCTGAAATAACCAAGGCCAATGCCAACTTTTCAATCTTAGGATAGCGAAGCTCTGCGCCTCCTAGGACTCGACTCACATAATAAATTGGCATTTGGACTCCATCTTCTTCTCGGATTAACACCGAGCTCACAGCCGCATCCGACACTCTCAGGTATAAGTATAAAACCTCTCCTTGTTGTGGCTTTGTCAAAAGTGGTGGAGAACCCAAGTAAGATTTTAGATCCTCGAACGCTCTCTGACAGTCTTCTGTCCAAGCGAACATATTTTCTTTCCTTAGCACTTTAAAAAATGGTAGGCTCTTTTCTGCAGACTTTGATAAGAAACGACTAAGTGCTGCTAGTCTCCCGGTGAGCCTCTGAACTTCTTTCACTGACTTAGGAGGATTCATGTCCAACAATGCTTTGATTTTCTCGGGGTTCGCCTCGATTCCTCGCTGTGTAACCATGTATCCAAGAAACTTTCCCGAGGTCACCCCAAAAGCGCACTTGTTGGGGTTGAGCTTCATCTTGTAATGCTTCAACACTGCGAAGGTCTCCTTTAAGTCGCCTATGTGGTCCTCCGCCCGTGGACTCTTTGCTAGCATGTCGTCAACGTACACTTCAATGTTTCTACCAATCTGGTTTTTAAAGATCTTGTTCACTAGCCTCTGGTATGTAGCCCCCGCGTTCTTCAGACCGAAGGGCATGACCTTGTAGCAATATAGGCCTCGGTCGGTGACGAAAGAAGTTTTGGCTTCATCCTCTGGGTGCATCCTTATGTGATGGTACCCTTGAAATGCATCCATGAAGCTGAGGACTTCACATTCGGCGGTGGCGTCTACCAGTTGGTCTATTCTCGGTAAGGGAAAGCTGTCCTTGGGACACGCCTTGTTTAGACTTGTAAAGTCTATGCACATCCTCCAATTGCCACTTGTT